CCCCCCCCCTTGGTAAGACCCCCCCCCCCCCAGAGAGTGATGTAATGACATACGAGCTTGGTCAAACAAGTATAATGGTGTTGAATGTATCCTTAGCACGAGCCGTGGTTTAATGTAAATTTCCGACTTTAGAAAATCTGCTTTAAAATTTACCTGAATACTGATTTCTAGGTATAGTTGAGTTAAATATTGTTACAGACTTCCATCTTTGTGTGACATTTATAAAGTAGAGATGCATGGTTAAATTGTACAAACATCTGAAGATTACGAATTTCTACTTCAGAAACAGGTGTATTTATAGTTTGTAATTAGGTGAGAGACGATCGTAATACCTGTATCCGGAGGCTGTCTCGTGTCTACCTGTGTTAAATTCTATGTGAAGTAACATAGTGAGATGTACATGGTATTGTTCATTTGATAACACCTTTAAACTAGACGGATAACGTCGCATGAATTGTGGACGCTATACTTCTGATTATCCATTAAAGTTAATACACTTTGAACTTCTATACGGCGGGTCCTGGCACGTGCTTAATTCACGTTGTCTCCATTCACCTCCCGAACATCTTTCTACTAACCGAGATGAAACTGGACTGATTTTTTTCGGTGTCAACTGAAAGGGGGTGAGTGGTGTTTTAATGAACTTCGGGAGTGTGTAAATGTGTAGTAAATCGTCCTTATTTGCTGTTTTTAATGGAACTTGTTTAAGTTTTCAACTATATATTTTTATAAAAGATTAGTTTATGAAGGGTGGTATTCCGAAATTATATGTTTTCTTCTTTGCTACTCAATATTTTGATATAAATCGGTATAATCACGTGACTTGTGACATTTAAAGTTCACATAGATTACAATAGTACAGCTCCAACTTGCACGTTTTTATACAGTCCACTGATAATGTTTAATACGTTATCGTATTCTTTGTCGACTTTATACACCAACAACTTAACCGTTTCACATACAGCTCTGAATGTGTATTATGACAGTTTTAAAATGTAGTCCACTGCTTTGCACGTGCTAAGTTGTGTTATATTCACTCTAGTTTAATCTTCCATTAACAGTGTTACCTATTTTGTTAACATAAATGTTTGCTGTATTTTGTTTTTGTGTAATTGTTCCAAACAGGGCTTGAAAACTTGGATAGCGGTGTGGGTATTTACGCCCCTGATGCAGAATCATACACCGTATTTTCTCAATTGTTTAATCCAGTTATCCAGGATTATCATGTTGGATTCAAACCGACAGATAAACACCCGCCGAAGGATTTTGGAGATGTTTCCACTTTGGTTGACCTTGATCCTGACGGAGAGTTTGTTGTCTCCACCAGAGTGCGCTGCGGCCGGAGCCTTGAGGGATACCCTTTCAATCCGTGTCTTACAGAAGCTGTAAGAAATATTTCTGTTTCTATGTTCTAGTAGTATTTTTGATTATTTCCATTCTGTGTCACAAACGATAGTAAGTATATTGATTTTGTACAATTTGTATTACAGAAATTGTAAGGAAATGTTCTGGTAATATGTTGTAAGTTATAATTTGGTTTTTACTGCGTTGTTTTACAGAAGTCATATACTTTATGTTAATAGTATTTATAATAATGTTAATTAAACGTTTCATTCTTGGTTATTAAACTGCCATACTTCACTCCGATGTTTAATTATGCTGTTAACTATGTCACTACTGTGGGTTGATAAATGTTGACTTAAATTATAAG